TTTCTGGAGTTTTTCTCTTGATCAGCCTCCCCCTTGAACAGAATTTGGTTTTAACTAATAGGTTGTGTCTTTTAAATATTTGAATCCTGCTATAAACCCAGGTGAATGAAACTAACTGGTTGCTACTAGGTTTCTTATTTCCACTTATGGAATACCTAGTTCCATCTCACTCATTATTCTCTGGACACTACAATCAGGAAAAGCAGGATTGTGGCAAACTAAAATAAAGTTCCATTTCAGAATACTGTTAGAACAGTTAAGGGGGGGGGGGACATGTCCTCTTCTGATTAAAAAATAGTTGGGGTCTGCTCTCCTTGTTTCCTTTTAGGAAGCCTGGAGAGAAGCTGATATCCAGAACAGAAAAGAAGAATGTGGATGGGCATGAAAGAAATGGAGGAAGCCAAGTGCTAATGGTGAGAACAATCAACTAAGGCAGAAGTAGGCTAACAATCAGCAGGAAGAGAAGCTGGCTAACAACCAGTGGGATGATCGTGCGCCAACACTTCTCAACATACCCAAAGCACACATCTGATACACAATACTTCAACTGGCCACACTTCCCTGATTCTCATTTTTTATTTTATTCAAAATATTAAAATACAAACTCAAAAAACCAAAAAACAAACAAAACCAAAGCTAAACAGATTATGCAAAGAAGTGCATAAAAGGGGAAAAAACCCATACCTAAATTGTCTCCCCTGGTTCACACTGATATCTTTCAAAAATAATAACTGTTCCTGCCTTGCAAAGGAAGCACACAATCTATAAATTTCTACAACACTGTTTACCTAACCCACTTAGCCTGTCATCTATCTACTATGAAAACATAGTTAAAAGGTAAAACTAACAGCTAAATTAAACTTCAAAACCTTCTGTTAACAATCTATTTATTGTATTTCACTTGCAGAAAGTCAACAATGGCTTCTGATCTACTATAATTCACCACAGTCACTGTCTCTGATTTATCCAGGATCAAATATCCTCAACTGATTTTTAATAATAAGGTTTTCCTTTAAGATATTAATTTCTAGCAGTTGGATTTTATTCCCCAAAGTCAGACGTCTCTGTTGTACAAAACAGTCTCCTGTAAATTGTATCATAACACCTCTTAACATTTGTTTTCCGATTGGGTATAATAAATATGTTCCCCAATCTTCCTCAAAAAGTTGAGTTTATCATTGATCAATTCTATCAATTTTGAGTCTTTAGTATATATACCTTTCTTGGAGTCCTCTAACCAACTTGCATTTTCCAAGTCCACCTCATCTTTCAGATCTGCCAGCATTAAATTACATTCTAATCCATCTAATTGTAAATCTTGTTTTAGCACTGTCATTTGCATCTGGTTACAGATTTTTTAAAACCATTGTTACTTTATCAAGCTTCTTATCCAAATTTTCAAGTTGAACTTGTAAGTTGAAAAGTATTATTTCTGCCCAGCTTACCCAATAAATTTTGTCTTGATATATTGCTTGCATTTTGACTATTTTGATATAGTCCAAAATACTTAGCAGTTAAACTTTTACGGCTGAAACTTTTACAGCTAGTCATAAACAGCTCCTCTCAAAGACAGGGAAAGCACCGTAACAAATTAGCCTCAAAAAGCATTGAGAACTTTTAGCAAGAGAGATTTCTGTCAGAATTTTTAAAAAATTAAGACCACATGTTTTTTTTAAGTATAAAATACAAAATCCCTGCAGTGAAAGTTTGATACTAATGTAAATCTAATCATTTTTATCACTATCCAAAGCTTGCTGAATCTTCCATATGGAAAAGGCAGAAGTGATGTACAACAGCTAATAAAACAATAAAAAGAACATAAACAAAACCTTTAAGATTCAGTAGGGGGTTAAATTAAATCAGCATTCAACCAGCTGATTAATAGTTGAAAGTAAAAATCAAAAGGAAAAGAAAATCAAAATGTGCTGTTAAAACCCAGGTGTTCTTAAAACAGCAGGAAGCTGGAAAGGAAAAGATGGAGACTCTACCCTCCGACTTCTCTCACTGAGAATTGCTACCTTCTAGCTCCTCTTCTCAAGTAGGTCCATAGTCACCCAAAGGTCATCTTGACTCATTCCTAGTAGCTCCTGTTCAAAGCGTACTGCCAAAGAGCCAGTTAAAAAAAACAACCTGCTGAGGATGCCATCTTGAGATCCCAGCTGACCACAGTTCCAAGATAATGTATAATAAAGCATTATAAATTTTATACACATTGAAGCTACGATGGAAGAATGCCACCTTAAAAAGGAAAATACTAGTTTTATTCCATCTAAGTATCTTGTATCTAAGTCTCTCTTGGTTCCTGGGCATAGAATAAGGGCAATTTCACAATGATATTGTCATGATATGGTTGCGTTGTGATTAAGGGTGAGTGGGGCTAGGGTTTAAAACTAGGAAGAAGAGTCCCCTTAATCTTTTTCATTAATAATATTTTGTACTATTTTATCCTGTCAATTCTAGAAGAATGATGCTACTTGGTCATGAATAGCTTTGCTGGGCAAAACCCAAACCAGAGAATTATTTTAGAGAAGTGGAGAAGGGGAGATGGGCTGCAAGAATTTCCACCAATTTATTAGTTCCAGTTGAAAAAAACAACAACTGTTCCTCTCGAACATGACTTTGTTATAAACTTTGCAGAAAAGTATGTTGGAAGATCTATCAAGTCTATAATGTAGTGCAGGGTTTGGACATAGCTTCTCAGTTGCCTTTTTTCTCCCTATATCCAGTGAAAGTTGAGCATTTTCCCCGTTCATAGGTCTCAATTGTACATTTATAAGTGTTGTCTGCTCTTGGTTCCCAGAGAGACACATCAGCTATAGAGCAGTGATTATTCTGGGGTTATGTGTTGCTGTCCTATTTAACAAGGCACCATTACATTTTTATCATTCAACACACAATATTTACAATTTCAAAATGTAAAATCACAACTTGAATCAAAATGCAACCCATGTTTTAATCAAATAACCTGCTTTTAATTCACCCCACAGTTGATATCAAAAGATTGCCAAAGGAGGAATCCTCACAACTGTAGGGTATGTTTCAGCTCACATTTCTGCAAGCATGTCTGTACAACATTGTAATAATATTACTTTTGCTTATCATTCTGTAAAAAAATATCTAGATTTTGAGCTTCAACTGACTATGCAATGCATTTGCCCACAGTGTGCACCATCACCACCTAAAATAAATCTGACAGATTAATTTTTTAAAAAAGTTTATTTCCTCCCATATATGAGTATCAACAGCACAGACAGGTAGCTTATCTAATTCATCAATGCTTCATAAATTATGTTACATTGCAGATCATCTACTAGAGTTGTATAATGTTTTGGACAAAACATTTCGGTGAAGTTGCTTTGTAAAGTCACTTATCCCTGTTTCTAGGAAAGAGAAGCTGTGCATGTATTGGGACAGTTTGGTGTAATGGTTAAGGCATCAGGCTGGAAATAAGGAGACTGGGAGTTCTAACCCAGCCTGGGCACAAAACCAGCTGGATGACCTTCAGTCAGTCACTGCCTCTAGCCCTCGGAAGAAAGCGATGGCAAATTTTTCTGAAAAAACTTTGCCAAGTAAACTGCAGGGACTTGTCCAGGGAGTCTCTGAGAATTTGGCAGGATTGAAGAGGGGAAAAAACCCAGCACAATATGTGCAGAACCAATTCTGGTTATGGAACTGATGGTCAAAGTGTTGAAGCATCATAAAGTGCATCAGAGAGAATTGTGTTCCTTCTTTCCGTGATGAGCAGAAACTCTTCATCTCTGCAAAATGAAGTGCCTTGCTGAGATGAAGAGGTCATATTGCTGTTTTGGTCATATTTTTCAAGCCACTTTACTTTATTGCAGTATCCATATAAGGATATCCATATAAATTTGCAGATGATACAACAGTGGTGGGACTTATCTCCGGGGTGGGGATGAGTCTGCCTACCAAGATGAGATGGACTGGTTGCTTTCGTGGTGTAGAGACAATAACTTGGTCCTCAACACCAATAAGACCAAGGAGCTTATAGTCAACTATAGAAGGAACAGATCAGACATCCAGCCCTTACTTATCAATGGAGACCAAGTGGAGCAAGTGGTCAGTTTTAAGTTTCTGGGTGTTACCATAAAAAAGGACCTGACCTGGGGTGCTCACATTGCAACACTGGTCAAAAGGGCCCAGCAGAGATTATACTATCTGAGACTTCTCAGAAAACAACAACTGAATGAAAAACTGCTGGTGATCATCTACCGCTGCACCATAGAGAATATCTTAACTTACTGCACCTCTGTATGGTTTGCCAATTGCACAGTGGCAGATAGGAAAGCACTCTAGAGGATTAAATTTGCCAAAAAATCATTGGTTGCCCTCTCCCCTCTTTGGAAGAGCTTTATAGCTCTCGCTGCCTCAAGAAAGTTCAAACCATTCTCAAAGATCCATTTTATCCTGGGCACCCTTTTTTTGAACTATTACCATCTGGCAGACAGTACAGAATAATAAAAACAAGGACAAATAGGCTGAAAAACAGCTATCCCAGGGCAGTAGCTCTGTTGAATTCTGCTATATAATGCAGTGTTGGTGCGGTGTCGGGGGTTTTCAATTCAATGTGTGAAGTGTGAAGGATGTGTGTTTGTGTTTATTTTCATGGTCATGATGTGCACTGAAGACGGTGTTTGATTTCGTTATACGAGGTGCAATGACAATAAAGTAAACTAAACTAAACTAGCAGAGTTTTTTTAGTATTTCCTATCTTCTTCATACCAAAGTAGTTATAGACAATATATAAAGAGGATGGTGAAGGGGTTTGTCAGAGTTTATATTTTTAGCAAGTTTCCCAACTTTTGCAAAATGCTGCAGCCTAGTGGAAGACCCCCCAGTAGAAGGAAACTGTTGGCACAGAAAAGCATTTAGCTTTTTTGACATTTTGTTTTCTGTGTGAATGTAGGAATGAAAGATAAATCCTTGTTATCATGCCTCAGGCTGGCAATAGAAGGATACAAGTAAAAGCAATACTTATTATTGGGACTTTTCCAGAATCAACAGAAAAAGTGACCCTTATTTATGTTTACTCTGAATTATGTGTCACCAGGATGAGTAGATTTTACCTTTCCCAAAAGATGTTTAGGATTTTACTTTTAGTATCAAATTCTCTTTAGAAGACCAATGAATCCCTGGATTACTTGTGGGACCCCAGATCCTAGAACTCAAGTATCATAAAAAGAATTTACATGGATTTATCTACCTCTCATTCATTTTTGCACAGAAAAGCACAGTCTATGATAATATTTAAAACACTTAACAATGAAAGTACAGTAAACCTGTAAATATACCCAGAAATACAAATGCTACATTACATTTAGTGAAAGACAGAACTAATTTGAGTAATATAAATAAGCAATAGAGGTTCTGTACTAAGACCGAAGCTTATAACGAAAAAGAATGTCAGAATCTGGCAGTAAAATACCCAAGCCTATTCTATCCTTGTCCTGTCCAAGTTGTTTGTCCTCCATTATATCCATATCAAAATAAACCGATGCTAAAACCACAAAGAGTTTAATTTCACTCATTGCAAAGAATCTGCCAGGACACATGTTGACTCCAGAGCCAAATGGCATTAGAAAATATTTCAGCTTCTTTCCCTGTTTGAAGAAGGTTGTTTTCTTCTTGCCGTTCTCCACGTAGCGGTCAAATTTATATGTCTGGAAGAAAAATGAAAACTAAGTGGTTACACAGATGCTACATGGCTATAAGAAGCAGGAAAAACTTCGTTGTTCTTAGTACTTCTGGAAGGCAAGTAAGACCACACTTGTGCTTAAAATGTGGTCTTCTTGTCTCAAATCAGGCCCTACAGCTCTGTATCCTACTTTATGAACCAGTTTCCTATGTTTTACACCTTTGGATACCTTTCCTTTTGGGTTTCATTTCCTTTTGGGTTTCATTTAAAACACATTGGATTATCTGCTATTCATCTGCTTACTGATTTTGAATTCCATGTGGATATACTGTATAGGTGATGATACAGAAACACAAAGATCGTATATTGAGACAAACTACAAGAAACATACCGTAATAAAAGAAACACTATATATTGGCATTTGCTTCTTCTAACTAAAATAAGGGGAGGTAAAATTACTCACTTCCCTCAGGTTAGTGTGACTTCCTTTCTTCACTTTTGTTGTTCAGGGCTGCACGGCACCTCCCTTTCTCTAAATCTGAGCAATATATTTCTTAAGCACCACCATATCATTTTCCTCTGCTCCATTTCCTAGTTTCAGTTTCAATTCCCTGCTTATTAAATTTGACATAACACTCAGAAGCCAGGCCATGCTGAAGGTACTGCTCATGGTGTTTTAGGGAGAATGTGCAACAGCAAAATAAACACGACAACCTCACTAATTACCACCATTAACACAAACCACAACAATAATGATCATTCTAAATAATTCCTTAAATTATTAAGAATTATTCCAGAACCAGGAATTCCTTCCTGGAAAGCCTTCTAACTTGTGAAGGCAAGTCTAAATGCATTAACATGCACTACTGAGGAAACCTTGCAATATGTTCATACAAAAAAATCTGGGATGATTGGAATCAAAACTAGAAGGGCACACTGTCCTTGTTTATAGTTTTAGTAATTGATAAAGGGCCCATCTGTTTAAAGTATGTTGCAACCAGGAAATCATTAAAGAATACAGACTAGGGACTTCAGAGTGAATGCATTAAAGCATAACTTACAGATGGTCCTTCATACACACTTATGTGCACTCTCACCTCATCCCTATTGAAAGCCCATCTTTTAAATTCTGTACACTAGCAGATTCAACTGTGATTCAGCCAGGAAGCCATGTTATGCAAATAAGAGAGCCAAGAATTTGGCTTTCATCTTTTTGTGGGCTGAAGGAGGAGGCAATTGGGAGATTTGTTTTAGATTGTGCAAAGCCTGAATCAGGCTTTCCACTGTAGTTTTTGTAGGCTTTCTATCTCAAATTGGCAGAAACATGCGCTATCATTTTTTTCCTCCAACTCTGACTGGAAGCAGTTCCTTAGGTAGCAAAAATTCATGTCTACATTAAGTGGAACTGCTGAGCTGGAGCTGCCCTTGAAATGATACAAAAACTTAAGTTAGTATAGAACGAGGCAACAATGAATACATCCTGCACAGCCAGTAAAAACTGTATCTTGGATGTTTCTGAAGGGTATGTATCAGTGGTGGGTTTCAATTTTTTTTACTACCAGTTCTGTGGGCGTGGCTTGGTGGGCATGTCAGAGGACTGTAAAATCTCCAGTCAGAGGTGGTATTTGTCAGTTCTATGAACTACTCAAAATTTCCGCTACCGGTTCTCCCGAACTGGTCAGAACCTGCTGAATACCACCTCTGGTTTATAGGCCCTATAAACCATAACTGCAACTTATCATACTATCCCTGGACTTCATGGAATTCAGTAAAAAGCAGAATTTTTGTAAAGCTTTGCGACTTGCAATTCTGCCTCTACAGCATCTCCAAGCCAGCTGCAAAATATTTCAGTAAAAACTGAGGGAACAGCCCTCCAGTTTGCATGCAGGTAATGAACTTCTGGAGCTGCATTAAGCTGAACTAGACAGGATTAATTTGCAGTCTTTGATATTCATTAACTTTAGCCTCAGAAAAGGGAAAATACACGGAGATGACACCCTCAAAGCTTCATTGCAGAGCAACAGCTTTACAATCCTGAGTTCGCAATGCCACACTAATTGACTACAAAAAGACCAATCCCTATAAAGAGAGGTGAAAAACCATATGTCTTAAGAAGACACTGCTATTATTGGGGCTTTAGAGAATCAGTGATGCTTTGGGGGCCACTTAACTAAATAGCCCACATTATTTGCTCTTTAAGCCACCTTCCATTATTCTGCCTTCTTTGGGCATCCAATGATCCACTTCCAAACAAAGCCCACATTTAGCCTCAAGTTTATGGTAGTCAGTGAACAATTGTTAGTTCATCTGAAAGGGAGTAAGCAGTCAGTCTCGTTGTCATTATTTCTCCCTTTAGACCTTGAATCCTTTGACCTGCAGCAGGCATCTTGAAAAGAACTGAAAGTAGGAAGATTTGTTCCACAGTTCCCCCCCCCCCCCATTCTCCTAAAAAAAAATAATCTGTATTATAAAGAGCCTGGTAGCAGAAATATATATCTGTGATCATATGTGCAATAGAAGTCAACTCTTACTTGAGGATCTTCGTAGATTTCAGGGTCCCTGTGCAGAACCGGAGGAAAAATTGCTAAAAAATCTCCTTTTCTCAAACAGACTTCACGATTTTCTTCAAACTTGAAAATAAAATTTTCTTTGATTTGACGGATATTAATTGATGAGGAACACATTCGCAAGCTCTCATTTATAGCACTTTCTGAATTTAAATAAAGAGAAAAACAGAACAAAACAAGACGTAAATGTTAAAACTACTGAAGATGACGATCTTACAAGTTCCTACAGTAGCCACTGAATTAGTTTATTAGATGTGGTTAGAAAAAAAAAAGGTGGAGAGAAAAATAGGCAGTGGGGGAAAATAGGGTGGTGGGGAAGAACCAAAAATGGAGCACAAATGCAATTAATAATTAACTGATAAGAGTTGATGAATTTAGTTAAGCTCAAGACAATGTAGTAGATTTTGGGTGGAAAACCATTATTTGTACATCTCACTAAAAGCCACCATCAGAGAAAGGAATATTTTTAGGCATTTATATACATTGTGAGAGTTACAATACCAGCTTCAAGATTCAGAGCTCTCCTCCAAAGGCCTTGTGCTAGGCTTCAATCACGCACTACAAAATGAAGCACTCAAATAACTATACAGTGAACTGTGAAGTTAGGATGCTAGGAATTACGGACTCCTTAGCAATATCATCATCACATCGTAATTTCTACTGTTGGCTGAGCAAATTCAAATTATGCGTGGCACTTTGACAAGTTAATGGGGGGAAACCCATATCCCATGTAATGCTTTGACACAAATCCCAAACCTTTTCCAGACGCCCACCATAACCTGGAAAGCTTGGGAAGGCAAATGTCCTTGCCATCCCAGTAGCCTTCACCTTTTGCTCCTAGCATGACAGATTTTATGGCTAATTTCCGGCAATTTATCCTGGCAGTTTGAGGAGAAATTCCTTTGGGAATAATATGCATAATTTGCATAAATCATTCTGATAGCATGCATACCAGCATGTACCTCCTGTCTGGGGCTGCATCTCTCACTTAGTAATCAAAACTGACTATTTCTCCACCAGCATGGCAGGGTCCTGTAGGAGACAGCATGACTCCTTTAAGCTATCGGTGTGAAAACAAGCCTTAGCAATGCAAAAACCAGAGCACCCTCCCCCTCCATAAGATCAAGCATAGAGAGTTGCTTATATGCATTTTGGACTATCCACATTAAAATCCTTTCTTTGCCAGATCAACTTTGGCGATTCTCTAGAATCTAAAGGCTAATTTACAAGAAAGTGCAGCAAACCTAGCCTAGACATATTTGAAAAAGACCATTACAAATGGTTGTTTTGTTTTGTTTTTAACAAAAATTAAAAACAGTGCATGGCAAATAAAGCTGATTTAGATGCTTTTCTGCAAGAGTTTTTTTTTCCTTAAGCATGTATTTGTCTAAAGAAATGAGGCTGCGGTCAGTTCTGTGTGGCCAACACTGTGATTCAATGTGACGTACAGTGAGGCTGTGCATATTTTTTTTGGACTGCCTTCGTTACTATAATCATGGAGAATCAAATCGGCTTGTTGATGATGAAGCCAGAAAAAAAACCTGTGATTCCAGAATATGGCCTCTCTTGCAGATAGCCACAAGGCACAATAGATGTCAAATGGCTGCATTCTGGCAAGAGAAAACTTCCCCCAATGCAAAAGAAAGATCCAGGCTCCATTTCTTGGCTTTATGCAGCCTAGGCATAATGAAGCTGATTAGAGCATAGTAGGCTGCAGTACAGAAATGGTAACTGACATATGTAGGACCACTGGACACCAACGAAACCAAATCCTGGTTGGGGACAAGTGAGGGGAAGGGAGTAAAGCACAAAACACACAGCAACGATAAGCAAAATCATCAGGCAAGTGTTGCTGCTGCTGCTGAAATAGCAGGTTTCCACTTGAGTAGCACAAGCCACAAAGTCATATCGGATTGGCTGACATTTTGAAAGGAAGCATGGCAGTCTGTTGACCACTGTCATATCCCAAATGACAATCGGGCAACCTTCTCTTATTGAGAATTTAATCACAGTAATGGAGCTCAGAGCACGACTTAGCGGTCAGATCATAAATGACAAATCTATTTTACCTTCCAGTACCAGCTATGTGGGGAAAAAAGAGCCGCGGCTCTTGCTCTGAGCGATCTTGCTGATAATCCTTAGATGACAAAGGTAAAGAGTCACATTATGATCAGCAACGGAGGAGGGAATTTGTATGGGTTTGTGGCGGCCGACCATGAAAATAAACAAACAAAAAATGACACTCTTTCCCAGTCCCTCCTCCCCTCCTCCCTTCCCCAACAGTTCTTATACACTGGATTTAGACTGAATGACAACTAGATGATAAAACAGCAGCCTGTACAGTACTTGTGGTTGTCATACTTCAGTAGGCATAAGCCAGCACTCCTGTAAGACCAGCTGGATAGCCTGGGAGGCCTCCCATTTTGCACCATGAGGTATGGCAAATGATCCAGCTCTGGAGAACAACATCTGTTTCTGTGCTAGTGCTGAACAAACAAGGCAATTTAAAGCAAAGCAAAAGATAACCAAGCAGCAAATGAACATGACCCTCATGTTTTCCCACTTCCTACACACATGAGATGCTGAAACTTCAACACATGAAGAGAGATTGTCAGTAAAGTTGACATATTTTCTAAGGAGGGAAAGAGAGAAAGGGAGGGCGGAAGAGGGGGCCTTCAGATTTCCCAGAGTATTATTTTTAGAGTCTTCCCACTCCCCTTTTCTCTTATATTCTCTGCTTCCAATTCATCCACAATCTTTTTTTAAAAGTCGAAGCCATTTCAATATACTTATAAATATTCAGTCTTTAAACCTAATTTGCTATACTTAGTTCACATGCCTTCAAGCATTTGTCTTCCAATTTCCACTGAATAAATGCGTACTAATGAGAAATGGAGCAAGCTGCTGAGGCAAAGCTGGCCGACTTGCGCCTGGCCCGCCACCAGCTTGTGATAGGCAGGCAAATTGAGTTAAAATGAAAAGTCTTGTCAGCTGAAATACAACACGGAGCCAAACAGCAAGCTGTCAATCATCCAGCCAAAACAAGGGACTGCAGGTAATAAAAGGTCATTGTGAATCATTAGTACATTTGGCTTTGGTAAGCAAGTTAATTTTAATTAAACATGATTTTGATCTGTTACTGTTTAATAAAAAAAAACCCGCTACAAATAATGGTTTTTTAATTCTATATTAAGCAGGTAATAGGAACCCTGTAAGTGTCAAGGGTATAGGAAAGAAAAATAGTTGTTCAATATGCAAATATTTTGGATACATCTACTCTTTTCAGAGCTCTATGATTATAATTATGAAATGCCACACGCCTGTAGTTTGCAGGAATGAACAGAACCAAATTAATAACAGGATACAAAGATAAAATATCTACTTTCTCCAACTTCCTTCAGTCTTAAAACAGTGATGTTTAATGGTAGTGTGTATCTTTCAAGATAGTTTGTATCCTTGCACTGTTTAATTTTAGTTTTTCTATCTGCTAGTCAACAATATCCCATGCAATGTTGTCTTTAGTGTAAATTACTGATATGCAGGATAGCTTAGCCATTCAAAATAAAACCTTGTCTTGGGCATGATTTTCACCACACAGGCAACAACAATTTCAAAAATCTCTCAGTGCCTCCTTCTGTGCCAGAGACATACAATCTGGGTCCTTTGGAAAAAACAAAGCAGAACTCCAGGACAAAAAAAGCCAGAAGTTTTATAATCAGGCAGGGTAAGAAAAAAAAGAAAGCTAAGAATCTCCTGATTATAGCTAGCAATTCAAGGCAGGAAGGTTTTCTAGAATCTAGATAACAAATTGGCACAGAGGTAGTTTCAAGAGTCACTGACTGAAAAGAAAAGGAAAATGTTAGTGAAGACATTGCCCTGTTTAATTTTTTTTAAGACCACTTTATTGCATCTGGAACTTATTACCTTTCCACAAGCCCAATCCTTGTATGTTTTATGCAGATATCTCTTTATATTTCAGCTGCTTCTCCATTAGTAGAATGGATTACTTTGGAATTTTGGCAGAGCTTGTCACTGTCCTATATATTTTTCTATTAGATGTTTTCAGATATGAATACCTCTATAATTGTATTTCCTTTGTTAATGAAGAATTGTGTGACTAATTAAAGTTAAAAAAGAACTACAATTTCTTTTCCCATTTCCCTTTTAAATAAAAGTTGTTTTTCTTTTGTTTGATCTTTCTTTCTGCCAAAGAGAAAAGCGGCAGATTTCCTTCGACACAAGTCTCAATGCTACAGAGACAGGAAGTGGCTTGAAATTTCCTTCCTAAGGCAGGAGGATTTAGGATGTAAATACCCAGTATGTATACTATGTGTATGCATTATGTGTATCAATGAATGTGCCTACTATTTTACATTTAAGATACTGGAGGAGAGATGAATAGAATCTGTGGTAGATGGAGATCTATGATAGACAGTCCGTATGATATCTCTGGGAATGTGTGCATGTGTATATTCTTTACCCAGCAGCTGATGCTCCTTTCAACCTAGACCAACTTAGTTAAGAAGGGCAACTGATATTTCATTGATATGTAGGGCTATCAGATATATAAGCAGGCAAAAGGAGGACATGGATAATTGGAAAGGGGACAAATGGGAGAGGTGGAAAGGAGAACACACTGTTTTTCTTGCAAGAAAAAATACAATAAAACAGTCCAAAAGAAAAGGCTCACATGTATGTGAAATTACTTTCTTCAGAAATGGAAAAACTGTTTTTTTTCTATCAATTTTTTTCCTAGCGTATCTTTATTTTCAAGAACATATGCTAGCAATGCACTTCTCAAATTTCATCAAAGAAATGTATGACTAGTATTGTGATTTATGGATTTGTAGATTTGACGGGAGGGATCAAAGCTAAATTGCTGGAATCAGGAATTAAATAATGTAAATCTAGGCTGTCAAGTTTGTAAAGAGATAGATAACAAGGAAAGAAAGATGCAAACAATATATGAGAAAGTCTGAATGATTACTATTGTGAAAACAGTCCATAAAAAAAAAATCCTCCAAGATACTAAAGATGCTGTTATTGCCCCCTCGCAGTGCCTGGAGGCTGTGGAGGCTGGATGGGGGACAGTAGGCTTTGGCTGAATTTTGGCAAGACCGCATGGCTTTGGGTGCATGGAATT